ATAGAGCAGCAGTATTCCTTCGTGCTGCAGCGGCGAGGGTTTGAGATTCTGCTGCTGCTGCTGCTGCTGCAGCAGCAGCTGCTGCTGCTGCAGCAGCTGCTGCTGCTGCTCTGTTCCCAGCAGCAAAGAGTGGCTGTAGTGCCGCAGCAGCTCAGGGTGAGCTATCCATCTTTTTTTGTTTCCTGGGGGCCCCCTGAGGGGGCCCCTTCTCAGCAGCAGCTTGAGCAGCAGTTGCTGCTGCTGCTGCTGCTCCTGCTGCTCCTGCTGCTGCTGCTGCTGCTGTTGCTGCTGCTGACCCTCTACCTCAGGGCTCGTGTTGCGCCGGCGCAGCAGCTGCAGCAGCAACCCGGGGGCCTCTTGCTTCTCCTCCATGCTGCCTGGGATCCACTCGTACCCAGCAGCAGCAGCAGCAGCAGCAGCAGCGGCAGCAGCAGCAGCAGCAGCGGCAGCAGCAGCAGCAGCGGCAGCAGCAGCGGGTAGCTACTATGTGTTGAGCCCGCTAGGGAGAGAGCAGCATCATGAGGGGTAGTCGGGGTGTATAGAAAGGAAAATAAAATAAATAAATAGATATAAAAAGTTAAATTATATTTTAATATTTATATTTATTATTTTTATTTTATATTTATTATTATTTCCTCTGTTTTTTAAGCAGCAGCAATGGGGTGCACGGGGTGTACATACACCTCACCGCGGTGCAGCAGCACAAGGGGCCCTAACACAAAAAATATTCAGGTGTATAGGCATCTTTATTTTTTTTATTTAAATATATTAAAATTTATTTATTATTTTTTAATAAATACAACAGAAGACAACACACAACAAAGCAAAAGTACACAGATAGCGTCACCGCCGCCTGGGGCCCCCGAGCAGCAGCAGCAGCAGCAGCAGCAGCAGCAGCAGCAGCAACAGCAGCAGCAGCAGCAGCAGCAACTAACTTCTTTAGAAATTAACAATTTGGTGTATTAAATATATTCAGTTGAGGGTTTTGTTTAACCTTAATACGACGCTAGTTA